TTGTGTTGGTTTGTTTTGTTGTATGGGATTGGTTGTAAAGAGTTGATTGCCTTCATTGTTTGGAATGATTTATTGATTTGGTTTTTTTGAGCATTCATTCAATCATTCGTTCATTCATTCATTCATTCATTCATTCATCCATCCATCCATCCATCCATCCATCCATTCCATCCATCCATCCATCCATCCATCCATTCATCCATCCATTCCATCCATTCCATCCAATCCATCCATTCCATTCATTCCATTCATTCCATTCATGCCATTCATTCCATTCATTCCATTCATTCCATTCATTCCATTCATTCCATTCACTCCATTCATTCAATTCATTCCATTCCATTCCATTCATTCCATTCATTCCGTTCCATTCCATTCCATTCCATTCCATTCCATTCCATTCCATTCCATTCCATTCCATTCCATTCCATTCCATTCCATTCCATTCCATTCCATTCCATTCCATTCCATTCCATTCCATTCCATTCCATTCCATTCATTGATTCATTGACTCATTGACTCATTGACTCATTGACTCATTGATTCATTGATTCATTGATTCATTGATTCATTCATTCATTGATTCATTCATTCATTCATTGATTCATTCATTCATTCATTCATTCATTCATTCATTCATTCATTCATTCATTCATTCATTCATTCATTGATTCATTCATTCCTTCCTTCCTTCCTTCCTTCATTCATTCATTCATTCATTCATTCATCCATTCAGTAACTGTTTGCTTGTTTGCTTGTTTGCTTGTTTGCTTGTTTGCTTGTTTGCTTGGTTGCTTGCTTGTCTGCCTGATGGCATTCGGACAAGTGGCCACCATGGTCCTGTCCTGTGGGATTCGGTTTAGAGTTGGCTGAAGGTTGGTTCACAATTTTAGAGCAGGTTAGGTTAGGGTTTGTTTTTGGGTTGGTTTAGGGCAGATGCAGCTCAGCCTTCGGGGGGGGGGGAGCCTGTGGACTGATGCGGGTATCAACACGCACCAGCCCGTGTATACATGTAGATATAGATATGTTTACCAGACCTAGTATCCTGCATTTTTCAAGATGACACTCGAGTACAATCAGCTCAACGTGATGAGGCTCTGTACTTGAGGATCCCTGACTTCACTTCATTTGACAACTATTGTATACTTTTTGCAGATCCATCCAAGCTGCAGACTGCTGGGCATTGACAATCTTTGTCTGGCGACCCCGAGCGCCGACCCCGTGCTGCTCGGGCATGCTTGAGACGGCCGGCCGCAAGGAGTGACTGAGTGACTTTGAGCGCGGACGTTCGATGCCACAGGTCTCGGCCTGGGTTCGCAAGCTTTGGTTCATCCCGAAATGCCTGGTTTTCCCAGTTGTTCAAGCTGTAAAAGGCCTGTTTCCATCCATCAAGTGAAGGCTCTGGCGTCGATGCTGCGACAGGTTGGGCTGATTTGAAGGAGTGTCCAACAGGCTTTCAGGAGCCCGATTTGCCTATGTCACCACACGCCAAGAACTTTTCCGAACTGGACAAGTAGTGCTAGTCTTTCATTGCAACTTGAGCTCGCTTTGGAACGAAGCAGGTTTTAACAAAACATTTGCGCCACCATCAAGCCCCGGTAAGTGAAGGTTGGTAGATATTTGCCCTTGTGCTTCTTTGCATGGTGCAGGTAGACTCACTTCCTCAATTCCTGAGTTTGTGGGTTGTGGACTTTCTACTTTTTGGAAAGACCATTTTATTGGCGCACCACAAGTCGGGACTTGCTGTTAGCCGATCAACTCGAGAAGCGAATTCAGTACCAGGTTTAATTTTGACGCACCGCTGAACAGTAACCAACTTTGGGTCACCTTATACTCATTCTTGGGCTCGGCAAAACATGGCTGACCAAAACTTTTGCCAACATATTCTAGATGCCCAGTGACACCTGCTGTTCTTCCTTTGGAAAGGGTCTCTTTACGCGCGTGTGCGCGCGTGCACACTCATGATTTCTCCATGTCGGGTTCGTTTGCATGAGCGGGCCAATTGCGCCATTACTTTGCTTTCACAGCAAGAAGCAAGCGCCATGTTTTCTGATCGCATCAGTCAGTCGCAAGCAGCGCACCATGGGACTTTGACTTCAGCATGGACCTGCTGCAGTTGCACGGCTTTGAGACCAACCGAGGCAAATTGGCCTCGGATGACAACGTGCCCGAGAGGTCAGCCGCAGAGGCCGGAGACAAGCCGTCAGACGCACAACGATCCAGGGCATGCTTTCGATCATGCCAGAGAAATTGCATGTACCCACCTGTCTGCGGCGACTGTAAACACTGGATGGGAGATGCCGAATGCGCAAGCTGGGGCAATTTCGTCTTTAAAGAACCTACAAGAGCAAGGGCAAGAACGGCGACGCAACACCAAATGCGCTCACCGTGCGGCGCTCTGATGGGGCTGACAGGAAGGTTCAGCTCGAGGGAAAAGAAGGCGACCAACCTTCGCTCGGACCGACTTCACCTACACGAACCACCGGCAAGTTTGCAGAGCATTTGGTTTTCGACACGGCGTGCCAAAGAACATGTTGCAGCAATACTTGGTTGGGGTTCGGAAACAGGCTCTCGAGTTCTACCGCTTGAAGGCCCGTTCGAGAGCCGTTTGAGTTCGGGCAGCAACCCGCACAGTGCAGCAATATAGGGCAGCCAGCATGGCTATGTTCCTCAAAGAAATCGCTGGCGCTTCTACGTGTTTGATCCGGGCTTGTGTCATTGATCCCATTGATACCACACATGAAAGTCCAAATGCTGGGCAGCGACGTTGAAGGAAACCACTGGTCTTCTTCGACAGCCAGCGTTGCTCGGCCAATGGGCATTTTGCAGTCGTACCACGATTCCAGTCGGACGCAAAAGCCATGGGAGCAACTGAGGGCTGAGGAGGGCAACCGCAGGCCAAGCAAGAAGTAGAAGCCGGCAGCCGGTGAATGAACAAAGACCCGTGTGAGTTACCAACCCAGGCGCAAGCAGGTTCATCGGCGTGCGCAGACATCTTGTGCGCTTTCAATCGGCATTTCGTGCCTGAGCGGGCCAATTCAGCCAAGACTTTCTTTCACAGCAAGAAACAGGCGCCGTGTGTTTTGTTGATCGCACCAGTCAGTTGCAAGCAGCACGTTTCTGGAGCATAGCTACTTTTGTGTTTTGTTGTGGGGAAACAAGGCCAGACCTGTTTTTGGCCATTCCACTCAAGAAGTGGGAACTATGCTCGTCCGCGCTCGTCCATCCTAAACTCGTTTTCTGCGCCAGCTGTTATCACCCAGTGGGTCCAGCCCTTGCAGAGGCTGCGCGGTAGGATATCTGGTGTTGGTGTAGCTGCTATGGTTGTTCTTGTTGTTGTTGTTGTTGTTGTTGTTGTTGTTGTTGTTGTTGTTGTTGTTGTTGTTGTTGTGGTTGTGGTTGTGGTTGTGGTTCTTGTTCTTGGTCTTGTTATGGCTGGTTTTTGCAGATTAACGCGGAACTCAACACCCATTATTCGGAGATTTCGGATCTCCCTTTTGGCGTTCCCTTTTTTGGTTCCTCGTTAATATGTGCAGGAAGTGATGGCTTCTGGTGGCTTGTCGGGGAACTGCCCGTGGGCTCGCCACAGCCTTCTGGCTGGATCTACTGGGGCATGTGAGCAACGGTCAATATGGTCTGTATCCAAAAACATGACAACATATTGAACGTGGCTCATGTAAGCTTTTAACAATTAAAGGCTACACGCCGTGACCACCGCCTCGCGATCAGAAACGCTTTGCCGGTCTGCGTGCGTCCTTCGCCAGTTTGAGCGCACTGTCTTTTGTCTTTGTTAAGGGGGGTATTCAGGTACAACCCCTTCCACAAAACAAAGCACCGATGGATGTTTGGAAGATAGCGTTTCCGTGTACCAGAGGCACTCTAACTCATTTGAGTCTCTGGACCTAACATTTACATGTAGGAATTCTGCAGTTCTTGTCTCTCCATCTGACTCTTCGATGGCCAGGACCCCACAGCGGGAGCGCTTTGCAAAAGAGACTGAGAGTTGCAGAACCGCCTAGGTACGAAGGAGCAAGGTTTATTTAGCGGACCAGTCCATTGCCACCGATGAACAGTCTCCTTTTTTTCTGGAAGCCCCACGGCGGCCTT